AAAAGATAAAGAAACACCAAAAGTGGAGTTGTCACAGCTGCTCTTTGCTGAGAACGTGCCCTGGAGATTCTGAAGAGAAGTTGCAGAGTTTGGGTGGATAAATTTGGTAGGGTGTGCAAAAGAAAAAATTTAAAAGGGTGAATACAGGAAAGAGTAAGGTTATGAGGGTAACAAAAAGATTTTGGTTTATGAAAGATTGAATTCATATTGGAGGGGGAGAGTAGGAGGAGGTAACGATTTAGAATTTGGGAGTGGACGTGTCGCGGATGGGTCATGAAAAATGAGGTAATCATAGAATTTTGAGGGAAAAATGTGATGGTGCATTAGGGGTCGTGGAGCAAAGAACTTTGTCCTTGGAGGCAAAGAGGGGAAATGTATGAGAGTATAGTTTTACGAACGCCTTTTTATGGGGGGAAGGGGGTGATGAAGTTGCGCGGGAGAAGGCGGAGGCAGTGGGGATGTCATGTCTGAGGGCAAAGTGTGGTGTGAATATAAAAGCGAGAATTCGTAGTTTGGGAAATTAGGAGGATGCGGGATTACCAAAACTGTTTCCAGAGGGCGAGGAAGGGTTGTTGGGTGGTTTTGACATGTAGAGAGAATGGAGCGGGAAAAGAAGAAATCAAGAGTGTATCAGTCTGTAGGGGGAAAGGGAAAGGGGGGAGGGGGCGGCCAGGAAAGGTTTGGGGGGGGGGTAAAGGAGGTTTTGTGTGCGATGGGGTTGACTTCCAGCAGGCAGCATGAGGGGGTTTGATAGGATGAATGGAGACAAATTGTTTTTAATACTTGACGTGCTGTTGGAGTGGGCAAAGTAACATTTAAAGGGATTTAGGGAAAACCCAGCCGGCTTGAGTCCTGGGGAAAGGAAGTACAGTGCCTGAACTCTGAAGAGGGGTTAAAGTTGCAGTTTAAAAAAATGAGGTAAAGCACCCTTCGGCAAAACAGTATTAGTGAATGATGGTTAATTTTTTCTTTTTTGGGCCCCCCCTTTGTGGGAATCGGCCAGTGTGATAATAAAAAAAAAAATATATTCCTTAGTGAACTCCGCCAATGTTTCAAGCGTTACGTGCCCAAAAAGTACACTGCACATGCCACTTCTAACGCGAGCCGTGGAAAGTTACTGAAACTAATTTCATTCCCCACCTGTTTGGATATCAGTCACTAGCAGTACACATGTTAATGCATCCACAGAAATATTTGGTTATATAACAAATTAGATTAAACCCGACTCATTTAACCAGTCTCTTAGGAAGCTAGAAAAATTCTTGACGCCTTAGTCCTTTACGCCAACATGCTTTAAACATTAGGTACCCAATAAGTACATTAGAGTGGGAGACTAGCTAAATGACTCAGATTCGATCCCCAGATGGTAGCAGTATGTTCTTTCCGTGGATGTATTAATATTTGTGTTCTCGTGATGACTGGTGTCCAAACGGAAGGGGAATATATATATATATATAATATATATAAAAATATATATTATAAAATATATATATATATATAATATATATATATATATATATATATATATATATATATATATGTATAAAATATATATAAAATATAATATATATATAATATATATATATATATATATATATATAATATATATATATAGTATATATATACGTAATATAATATATATATGTATATATACATATATGTATGCAAAAAAGTTCACAGGAAAAAAGGTGATTTTCAGAATATCAAAACAACCACTGTCAAAGAATAGAGAAATTCCAAGCGCTTTCGTGAGTACTTCCCCCTTATCAAGGAATAATATTCCTTATAATGTGAGTAGTCACGAAAGCGATTGGGAATTTCTCTATTCTTTGACAGTGGTTTGTTTTGCATATTCGAAATCACCTGTTTACTGTGATCTTATTGCATATACATATGTATATATATATATATAAATATATATATATATATATATATTATATATATATATAATATAAAAATATATATAATATATATATAATATATATATAATATAAAATATATATATTATATATATATATAATATATATGGGGTCCACCTCTGGTGTAAATTGTGGGACCCATAGCCTCGGAGAAGTGGATAAAAAGGCTTGAAAGGAAAATATTTAGATTTCTTCCTGAAGCCGTTTGAATATTCCACTTCCCCTACCACCCCATCTTTTGATATATATTTTTTTTCACTAATTGGAATATTTTATTACATAATATGGTACAGAAGATTTAAGAGATACATTGTTGATATAAAGGTGGCAATATACGGTACATGTTGTTAAACGTGTGTATCACCGATTACAAGGCGAAAATCTCATCCAGCTCCTCAGAGCTGGGGCGTGTGCCCAAAATACAGCAGGCATTACCCCTTTGAACAGCCGCACTGAGCCGCTGGAACAGAAAACTAGCTGCCCTGGGATCCCTAGTTACCCTGATGAGTCTTTTTCCCAGCTCCTTAAGGAATTTAGATGCACTCTTAACCCCATGAGCCAAGGGTCCCCTGAGCCTATGGGAACAAACATATAATGATGGGCAAGTTCTCCATATTTTCTAGACTTTTGGGACTCCCTGAAGCTGGCAGCTGCCCCTCCTTCCTCCCTGGTGTATTGGAGATAGGTACCCGCCAAGGTAGATGCACATGTATAGTCCCACACCACCTGCTTCCCATCTGTCCAGGCTTGAAGTGTGATACCATCTGGACACTTCTGGCTGCCATCAGATCTGCATAGTTGGGGTGGCTCCCTTACTGCTGGGCGTCCAGCTGTTGTGAGGCTCCTCTTGGTAATGTTATTAACCTCCTCATGTCTTGCAATCTTTCCCTCGGATTTACGGCACACAAGACCATGGTACCCGAATCGGTCTGCTGCTTCACTGCCACAAATACACCTGTGTTCGGCGAGAATAGGGGCGGCAAGTCGAAGGGCAACACCGATGCGGATGGTCTGTGGGTCGAGACGTGTGCCAAGGCTGGAGTTGGGAACAGCCAACAGAAAGTCCCCAGCGTGAGGGGCGCTCACTGCCAGGAGGCGGGCTCTATCCTTCCCTGACACACTCTGAAGCATTGTTGAGGCAATATTTTCCACTATTGGACCATCCCAGTGCGATTGTTTGTAGTTGTTGGGGGGAGCAGGTCTGGCTCCAGAGCCCGTTAGATTATCCCTGGATTTGGTCCTGGACTCCTATCTTGTCCCTAAGATGTTCAGGGAGAATCGCTGCTACAAGCTTTCTGGATGCAATACACGAGGACAGAAAAGCAGGTAACGCAATCTGTGATGACTTGCGGACAGCAATGCCTCCTAGTCTGACTGGAAGTGTAGCTTGGTTCCACTGCCCGTCTTCTCGAGTAAGGTTAAGTACTTTCGTAAAAATCTGCCTCAGAATACTGTCATATTCGTGCAGTATAGGGTTATCATATGAAGGTGCAC